CTGTCGCTATAGAGCTCAACACGGCACAAGCACCAAAACTCAAAGCGGAAGGCTGTGTAGGCTACTTATAAAGGCAACATGTTGCCTTTATAGTTTTACAGGATATCGACATTTGCTTAACAAACACATACACTGCCCACTGGTCATGAAAAAGAAACAAAATTCTCAATAGGTTGTAGTGTTTGTGAGGGTCCCAGGACGAGGGAAGAGATGAATCTGACTCCATGTTCTCAGAAGGCTGATTTATTATATTATGATATTATATTAAAACAAATTATATACTAAAACTATACTAAACTATAGAGAAAATGATACATCAGAAGGCTTAACAAGAAAGAATAATAAAAACCCATGACTGACTCCTCAGAGTCGACACAGGTGATGGTGATTGGTCATTAAGTTAAAACAATTCACATGGAACCAATCAAACAACCACCTACTACATTCCAAAGCAGCAAAACACAAGGAGAAGCAATCAGATAATTATTATTTACATTCCTCTCTGAGGCTTCTCAGCTTCCCAGGAGAAGAAATCCTGGCAAAGGGATTTTTCAGAAAATATAGTGACAATACGTGAAAAGGAGCCATGTCACTCTGTGAGCCAACCAAAGTCCGTATCTTTTGACTTCTCTCTTTCTTCACATTGTCATGGTGATAGCCTTGAGAGACATACAAGGCTTTCCTTCAGGAAGCCTTCACTGGCTCACAAGAACAGCACAAAAATGTCTTTCCTATGTTGCAAGGCAAAGCTGTGAGTAGCGCAGCTGTTTTGTAAATATTTACACAGCCTGTAAGTAAACTGGATCTCCTCTTAGTACACTGTATTGTCAATGTAGAAGAATCTATCTCCATTAGAGCTACTTAAGAGAGAAGTAAATACACTGTAATGAGATACAACTATTGTGTCTAGACTGCTCCTTCACATCAAATCTAGTTTTTAAATTAAAATGTTATTATCTGCCACCTGCCTGTGCTGATATCTATGTAAAATGAGCTAACACAGATGCATTCACCTTGTAAAAAGTAATCTCACAAATATGAGCCAAAGACCTGCACATGCCTGAGAGACTATGTATAGGTCAGCCAGACATTATTTTCAAGGGTTTATTTAAGGCTACACATTTCAACTGTATGCGCAAAACATGCCCACATGGAAAAACACCAATATATCTTCACTTACACCTACACTAATAAACCACAGAGGGACCACTAAATCAAGATTTAAAGAGGCATGAAGAAGGCATGATTTAAGGCAAAATTTACAAGATTTGCTTTAAGTTTGGCAAGCCTTTTCTGGGCCTCTTTTCACTACCAACTCACCAACTCATCAGTTCCTCTCTCATCTACCTTGGTTTTTTAAGGTTTTCCTCCCATTTACCTTCAATGACCAGACACATCTCACTGAGAGAGTATGCTGCCATGACTGACAAGGTGGAGGTAGATAAGGTAGTTTTTACCAAGCAGAATTTCAAGAGACGTCTAGTAAAGCATGGGAGAGGCAGCCACTCAATCTGCAGCAACTTGGTCAGACAAAAAAAAAAAAAAAGACTAAGCTGCTGTCTGAGCGGTTTTAAGCTGACAGTTTTTGAGCTTACGTCCACCATAGTTAAAAAATTACAGGTATATGGGCTGATCCCCTCAACTTCTGTACCCATAAATTTCTGGGTGTACAAGGTTGCATTCCTGAGCTAGTTTTTGGAGGTGGTGCTCTGTTCAGTTCAGCAGCCTCCATTTTCTGGGCTTTTCTTCCAGCAGGCAACACTAACTTCAAAGGGATACAGTTCAATACTGCAGTTAATGTAGTTACAATAAAGATCTGTGGCACCACCTGAAATATTTAGCGTAAGTGCCACAGAATTCAGGACACATATAATGTGAGCCCATAGATAAGAAATCCAGTGACTAACACAGGGAGCCTGCAGTCTCAGTCAAAAGAACAGTGAGGTCACAGCAGTGTCTCAGCAGAACTGTTTCATTCACACTCACATGAAAATACTGGCTGTAAACACTGATGTGTGTCATGTCAGAACTATAGCAGTTGTCTCCTGAGATAAGTTGGCACCTGTTCCAAACATGGGACATCAACTACAACATTGTCAACAGCATTACCTTACTACTACTGTTCCAGTGGCTAACATAGCTCCAATTCTAATCATCAATGCTATTGGAAATAGTGTGCCCTTAATTTCTGCCAGCTAACCATGAACTGAGCCCCCAGGCATTCCCATGCACATATGAGGGATGGGAAACCCAGAGCCTGGTGTCTGGCAGGTTGACTTTGATTCTGGATAGCGATCGTGCTTGGGAGAGCATTTCATAGGAAGGATATGTTTCCTTGTCCTTAGTACACAAAAGAAGAGGGTTCCCTTGTTGAAAGAGGAAGGAAGGCAGAGAGGAAGGAGGAAAGAAGGAAGAAGACAAGACAGGGAAATGTTTATAGACCAGCAAAATGCAATCACTTAGTTCATATAGTCATTAACAGCACCTTTGAATGATACCTGTGCAAGAAGGTTCACCTTTCCATTCCTTTCATGACTCGTCAAAGGCCTCTTCATATTCCACTGCAGTCCATTTCATTTCATTTCATATTCCTTTAAGTGATCTGGACATAGCCTCTCATCCTTGAGAAGCAGACAGCAGAACAACATAAAATGCAGCATTTACAAGACACAGACAGAAAAAAAACAAATGCCTTTCTAAGACAGAAAACCTGTATGTTGTAAAATGCAACTGCTTTGTTGCCAAAAGTGCCAAAAATATACTTAAATATACAATAAAAGGGGACAAATATGTTAGCAGCGCTTCATCCATGTTTCACTGATAGTTGTTTTTAACTGCCTTCTCGTGTTAGTAGGAGTAGTTCACAGAGCTTGCCTGCTTTGACCAAATCCTTCTACACAGCAGCTTCACCGAATGGCTAGAGGGGCCCATTTTGGGGTTATCCTGATCCTGGGGAAAAATCTACAAAATCCTAAATCAAATATGTTTCTTGAGTGCTTGGCCGATTACAATTCAGCTTGGGAGCTACAGCTGAAGAGAAGTCCAAGCTGCCTGATAGCAGATAGTCAAAATAAAGAAAAAAAAATTGGGCTAGCAGCCATCTTAGCCAGAGCTAGTGGTAGAGTGTCAGGTAGCACATTCCAGAAGAAACATTTTACTGTTTGGCAGTAGCCCCAACAAAGTGGGCACTTGGCTTTGGCTGGTAGTGTTAGTAGATGGATGCTCTGTCAATGATGATAGGATACCTGCTGCCACACATCTGTGTTAGATATATCACTGACATTACTAGGAAATATTCTCAGGGAAAAGCCTATGAACACTTCTTTTTGCCATTGTTGGTAACAGAACTTCTGAGATTTGGGCAATACAGGCTGAATGCTGACCCTCCTCCTGTATTTCTGCAACAGGCAAGGGAAACTCTCATTTTCTTCCCACAGTCAACAACACTCCTTGATGCTGTTGAGTCAGGGACAGAAAGAAAGAAAGACTCCAATCCTCAGGTGGATCAGAAGGCAAAAGCGTTTAATGAAAGTAGCGGGTCTTTTTATAAGGTGACTCACTAAGGTGATACTTAACTGGTCTCAAAGTAGAAGCATCTCACACTATTGGAGTACTATGAATAGCACCAACACTCTAGAGAACTATAGCTATAAACAACGGTTACAGAAAGAGATTGTTTTTATTATTATTTGTTTTAATTCTTTCCTCTAAGATTCCCAGGCTCAGCCTTGGAGAAATTATCTCTGTTCTTTCTTCCACTGAACTGAGAATATCCACAGCTCCTGTGAAAGTCTTGCTGGAGTCAGTTTATTCTGAGTAAACTTCATGATGGTGGAAGTAAACTTCATGATGGTGGAAGTAACTAGAAAATACTACTTTGCCATGCTAGTTAAGTTTTATAACACATCTATTTAATACATATGACCTCTTACTGAGATTAAATAACAACATAGGAACTAGATTCCTGATTATTAGGTAGGAAGAAAAGAGACACACTTGGAAGCCTTGCTCCAGAATTTTTAAGGAGATGTTGTCTTTCAGTGTATGGGCACAGAGTTCCTGAGAATTAGGATTAAATGTCATCAGTTTTGAAAAGTGCAAAGGACATTATTGACACATGCAACAATAGTCAAAATAGGTCAGTCTTTTTAACAACCCAAAATGGTCGTTGTCAAGGGCTAACCTTGGACAAAGCATATACTCTCTTCCTTCCACTGTTAAGAGTTGCAACTTCACTATGAACCATTAGCCAAGTTCATAATGTTTCTCTACATAAAAGGCTTGTAGTCCATTGTCAGTTTTAGACTTTAAGTAGGTTCTGAACAAAATATTCAAATTAATTCTGAAAATATGAAACTATTATCATCTTGCCATTTAACCAGAGAAAGATTTTAAGAAGCTGTAGATTTAACTTTTCTGAATAAAACATTCACAGTAGCCTTCCATTGCTTTTGCTCACTGGAGAATGGTACATATGCTACCCAAAACTGAACTTGTGTTTGCTGCAAGAAAAGAAACAAAAGACAATCCTTAATGTTTCAACAGGATTTTGCTGTGGAATGTCTTATTGAAGGCAAGTCTCACACCTTGACATAAGGGGTTTTCAGTACATTTACTTCACTATACTTTGCACTCGAGACCACAGTTGAGGTGACAGAACCGTTACCACAGCAACAGCACACACATAAACCCCCAAAACTTGCATTTTTAATAATAATTTTGCCCTTTTATGAATTTAGAAAGAAAAACTGAATCGAACACGAAAATTTTTATTTTCATTTAAAATTTGAAACATTACAAATAATTTTGTTTCTGGTTTATGGTATCTAGTAGTGCAAATGGGCAGAACAGCATGTACCGTATTAAAATGAGGAAAATATTTCAATTTCATCGGTACTGAAGACATGTATCGGCACCAAGAACAACAGAGTTTGTATTCAAATAAAAAATTAAATAACATATTTTATAATTAACAAGTTTTTAATCTATCCTACTTTAGCTTTCTTTTTCTTAAAACTTACACCAACACAAGTGAATTTAAGGGTTTTTCTTGGGGACAGCTAGAGTTGCCAAGATTATAAATTAAAATCTTAATGACTGTCTACTATTTATACCCAAAAGACTACAGATACTTCCATTAAATCAATATCACATACTGGCATCCATGTATTTCACAGTATGTTAGTGGAAAACATAAAAAATTGGACCAGAAGCACCACAGCTGCTCAGTCAAATAAGCCCTGGTCTTATATTGCCTCTGGAAAAATGCATGCTGTCATGTCCATCTTGGACAGAACAAGGTCTAGAATGTCTATCCTACCTGCAGATATAAAGCAGATGTGTACCCATATTAATTATGGGTATGTAATTACCCATAATAATGTACCCATTATTAATAGCCATATCAAATTTAGAACCCTATTTTCTGCATTTACTTTCTAGTATCAAATGGTTCTGAAGCTGCTACAAAATCTAAGGTTCTAAGTCAACTGAAGTTATTTAGAGAGCTAAAATTGAAAATGTGCTAACTTATCTTTTATATGGGTAGAGGAGGTAGGGAAATTATTTATACAACTCAAGACAAGAAGTACGACAGCTGTCCAACCTTTGTATGTGTTTCTATCACCCTATAATCACAGGAACATAGAATCATAGAAGGTCCCAGATGACTGTAAGCTGGCTAACATCCCAATTTTCAAGAAGGGCAAGAGGAAATGATCCTGGTAACTATCCACCTGTCAGTCTCACCTCAGTGCCTGGCAAAATTTGGAGAAGATTATTCTGTGAGTTATTGAAAAATACCTGAAGGACATCACAGTTGTCATTCACAGCCAGCATGGGTTCATGAGGGGAAAGTCCTTCTGACACCCATTCATGAAAAGATTCTCTACCTCATCGATCAAGTTAAGACAATTAATGTAATCATCTTTTTGGATTTCAGTAGTCATCAATGCTGTTTTTCAGTGTCCTGGACAAAATGTCCAGCACTCAGCTGGATAAACACATCATCACAAGCACAGCAACTCGCTCAAGGGTTGGGCACAATGGGTGACATGAGGCTGGTGATCTGTCACTAGTGGGGTTGGGGTTCCACAGAGCTCCATTCCAGACCCAGTGCTCTTCACTGTCTTCATAGATGACTTAGATGAGGACTTGCAGGCATATTAAGCAGGCTTGTCAATTATAACTATCTTGGGAGTTGTTGTGGATCAACCTGGGCCAGATGCCAGGCCTCAATGAAAGCCGCTCAATAACTTCCCTCTGCAGCGGGACACAAGAGAGAAAATATAACAAAGAGTTCATGGGTTGAGGTAAGGATCAGAAGAGACCCCTCATCAAATGCCATCATGGGCAAAACAGGTTCAACTTAGGGATATTAAGTAAATTTATTTCTAACAAACAAACAAACAAAACAAAAAATCAGAGCAGGATAATGAGACATAAAAAATGCCTTTAAAAGCACCTTCACCCCAACCCTGTCTCCTTCTTAGCTCTATCTCCTACCCCAGCAGTGCAAGAAGACATGGAATGGAGGTTATGATCAGTCCTGTGGCTTCTCCTGTTGCTCAGGAAGAGGAGTCATTCCACCGATGGATCATGGGGTTTCTCCCAGAGGAGACAGTTTTCCTGAACATCTCTGACATTGCTCTATCTCATAAGCAACAGCTCCCCGCGAACTGCTGCAATGTGAGTCCATCCCAAAGGCAGCTGTCCTCCCCAGACTTCTGCAGCATGGGTCACTCTTCCATGGGGTGAAGTCCCTCAAGGACAGGCTGCTCCAGCACAGAGCAGGGCCCCACTCTCCAGAGATCTCCCACAGGATCACAGCTTCCTCCCAGACATCCACCTGCTTTGGTGAAGGCTGTTCCATGGGCTACAGGTGGATCTCTGCATTCCAATGGACCTCCATGGGCTGCAGGGGCACAGCTGCTTTGCCATGGTCTTCACCACAGCCTGCAGAGGAATCTCAGCTCCAGCACCTGGTGCACACCCTCCATCTCCTTCTCCACTGACCTTATGGTCTGCATAGTTGTTCTTCTCCTCACATGTTCTCACCCTGCTCTCCTCTGGCTGGAATTGAAACTGTGCAACAACTTTTTGTTCATCTTTCTTCTTAAATGTGTTATCACAGAGGCATTACCACCACTTCTAAGTTGGCCCAGGCTTGGCCAGCAGTGTGTTTATCTTTGTAGACATCAGGGATTGGCTCTGCTGAATGTGATGGAAGCTTCTAGGAGCTTCTCACAGGAGCCACCCCTGCAGAAGCCCTCCTACCAAAAACCAATGCAAAACCAATACAAGAGGAAAGAAATTGAGGGTGTCTTGTGCAGACAAGATGGAGAGGCAATATAATGATCTTGAAAGAAATGGCAGATATCCAATAGAACAAAGCTCTTTTTACCATTCACTGTAGCTTCAGTGCAATAGGCTTAAAATTACTAGAAACAAGGTTTACATTTCCTATCAGGAAAGGCAAAATTAAAGATCTGACAGAATAGACAGTGAAACTTTGAATTAAATTTTACCACCTATCTGAGCAATCTTCTTACTGCAAGTGTACTACTAACTTTCAGAAACATCACCAAAATTCTGAGGTATATATATCTGCTTTGATTCCCCAGGTTTAATTTGTAAAACTTTATCTTTGTAAAAGATAAAGTGTTTTCTGTTTAGAAAGATGCGAGGCCTTTGGTTGGACTTTATCAGAGCACAGAATAAAAATTACTGTATTTGGTCTGAACAGAAATCCACAGTCACACATCTCTTTTTGGACAATGCCCAAGGCAGATAAAAAGAGTAACATCAGCCCAAACATATTCCCTGTGAAATCTCCCAAGGTTCAAAATGTGGGATATAGACTGTTCAATAATGTAATCTCTTGAAGAAGTTTCTTTAAGATTCCTCATAAATGCCATTTACCTTACCTACAGACTTTTGGCTGGATTTATTTTCTTTTTTTAAGAAAAAGCTGTCAAATAATAAAGAATTTGTTTCTTTAAAATGAGTACTTCTTTATACAATGCATGATCCAGTCAGCTGTTGAACTGAAACTAACTTTTATTTAAAACATGAACAATTAAATTCTTGGGTGAGAATGTGTACTGTTTCATCCTCTGTCTTTATGGACCAAGTTTTCTGAAGCTAATATGAATGAATGTTTGTTTCTGTTAAACAGGATGAAGCTTAGGAAAGAAAATTGATAAACAAAGTGCCAATTACCTGGATCGATACAAATAGGTATCAAAAGGAACTCTGGCATAACTTTTCAACTCAGACTATGCCATACATCCAACCTGAATTCCACTGGATGCAACCTCATTCCCATCCCATCTGCCCTTTCACTGGTCAGCAGAGACATCATCATCTCCTACTCTGCTGCCCCTCTTGCACGCTGCCCTCTCTTCTCCAAGCAGAACAAAGCAGCAGTTCCCTGTCCTTCTCATATAGTGGTGCTCAAAACAGAGCAGAGTGGGACAAGCCCCTCCCTTGCCCAGATGCATCCCAGGACATGGTTGGCCCTCCTGGCTGCCAGGGTGCTGCTGGCTCCTATTCAACTTGCCATTAACTCAAATCCCCAGATATCTTTCTGCCAGGCTGCTCTTCAGCCTCTTGTCCCCCAGTTTGTATGTATTATTATCTCATTTCAGTTGGAGAATACAGCACTTGCTCTTTATTAAATTTCATATATATGGTGATTATCCTGCTCCATAGTCTAATCAGATCTGTAACATCTCTCTACCCTTGAGGGAGTTCACAGCTCCTCCTACATTATTTGTGACAGCAAATTTACTTACTGTGCATTTGATTCATATCACATCACTTTGATTCACATCACTTAGGAAAACATTATATATTGCATTTTATGCAAAGCATACTGCCTTAAGCATTGAAAAGACTTATGTCAAAAATATAAGCTCATACTTTCCCAGCTGAAGAAAGCAGGAAATTACACGCAAAAGATTTCATTATTTAAGAACCTTCTTTGTATCTTGTAGTAAAATCTTAAATATACCCATCCATTCTGATAATACCTTGAAGAAATCTTCTTGTTTTATCATTTCTTAAAATAAGTGTGTTCCAAGATGGCATCTAAATAGAGGGCAAGCCACTTGGGAATGATGAGTAATTGTGGTGTCCTAGGGTAAGGTTATGATGCTTGTATCCCCAGTCGTGTGTTCTGTTGGTGCAGGATGTTATGTACTGTGCCTTCAAGACTGGCTCTGAAGAGCAAGGTTTGTTTTGGTTTGTTATCAGCCTGCTGCCCCACAGCTGACAGGACAGAGGGACGGGGCAGTACACAGTGCAGCTTTTGCTTTGCTTTTTGCTGCTTGCTTTGCTCTTGCTCCTGCTTGCTTCACTTTTGCTTTGCTCCTGCTCTGCTTTTGCTTTTTGCTTCTGTTAGTTAGTTTAGCTAAGCGGTCCAGATTTTTCCCTGGACTTTTTCCTTTCCCTTTTTAGAACCATTCAAACCTGCTCCGGACTGGGACCTGGGAAACACCAAGAGTTTACATCTTGTAGCTGCAGCAGCCATCCCCAGCGCCGGAAGGAGCGACATCAGAGCAACCACTCCCAGGAAAGACTTTCTGAATTTGTCATCCTTTTCAGATCAGTGAAAGTGTTGTCAGCTAGTATTGTTCATTTTGTGTGCTGGGGGTGTTTTGCCTGTTAAATAAACAGGTTCTTTCCACTTCTCTCTGAAGAATCCTTCCTGAACCAGTGGGGGGAAGGGACCATATAAGTTTGCTTTCTAAGGAGGGTCCCCTTTGAAAGTCTTCTCCCAGATTTACCCTAATCCAGCACAAAATTTGGTGCCCAATATGTGGGGCTCGAGAGAGAGGGGAAAAAACCCTGTTTTGAGTACATTTTGGTTACCATTACTCTGTGTTGGTATAAAGCAGTTAATAGCCATGTTTTTTGAATTTGTAATGTCTCTTGAAGTGAAGGCTTGCCTGCATTTCTGGTTCCTAGGGTTTTTTGAGATCTTAATACCTCTACAGTCCCTAAGTTTATTTTCTTATCCAGAAATAGCTGTAATATTGTCCCTAATATGTAGTTTTTACAGTAGAAGGGCAGTGACTTCATAGCTATTCTGCTAGGCTTGGTGGTTATGATATATAAGAAGTTTATGAACATGCTGGGGTCTGTTCCAAGTATGAATAGTTCATAGCTATAGTTATGCACCCAGTTTGTTAGAGGAGGTTTTTCAGCCTTTGCTTTCCTTCTTCTCCGAACCTCTTACATCACTATTAGAGAATGTTCAGTTTCCCATGAATGTTAAAGAGACCATCTTTCTGATATTTAATCTAGTAAGCTTCTTTTATACAGTCTGCAGCTTCTCTAGAATGAAGGCTGAGATTTCTAGACAAGCTAATGAGACCCCTGACCAGGAGTAGACCCAGGCATAGAAAATCCTGAGTAGTGTGATAAATAAGAAGATATGAGCCAAATCCTGAAAGAATTCTCTGACCCTATAGTCTAAGACTTTCCCCATAAACAAATTCAGAACCCAGCTGAAGTGGAGAAATACCTGAAAAAGAAATACCATAATAACCCTAAGGACAAAAGGATCATTGCAGAGAGCTGGGCCCTGGCATATGCTTATCACACACTGCTAAATACCTTAGAGCAACAGACAGAGGAAGGGGGGCAAGGAGATAAATCAAGAGCTATCCCAGTCAATCAGGCTGCAGCCAACACCCCAGGCTCTTGGGTGTCTTCAACACCCCTTGAAGCCAACAGCTAAACCAGATAGTGAGCCTAAGCCAGCAGCTAAACCAGACAATAAGCCTCAACCAATAGCTGTTGCTACTAGCACTAGAAGTGAAAAATGCACAGACACGACCAATCGACCAGTGCATGATGATGATGATGATGGTGATGCAGGAGAAAGACCCTCAGTATTTCCTGACATAGAATCAGGAATCAAAGCAACAGGCGCAAAATCAGAAGCCAATATTGAGTCCTTTTCCCTGAAGAACCTGCATGGCCTAAAAAAAGATTACACCCGACGATCTGATGAATCCATAATTAGCTGGTTAGTCCGTCTTTGGGACGCTGCAGGCAAGGCAGCATCCCAATTCTGCCTACAGTTCTGGACAGCACTGAAGCGAGGCATTTGGGATCCCTGACACATAATCCTGTCATCGACCAAAGCATGATGAGGGGGGCTAACCATCACAGCCTCTGGGCATGAGTCTAGCACAAAGATACCTGTGTGCAGATAATCTCTACATGCAGCAAACACAGTAGAAAATCATAAA